CAGCAAGCACGAATTTGACTTGGGGAGGCGGTGCTTTAGTGGTAGTGGGCGGCAAAGTTGCTTTGTTACCTAATACCATTAGGAACGGTAGATTTTTTGGTACATCACATTCACACATTGACAATTCATGTGACGGTATTGATACTCCTAAAAGATGTTCTATTTGCTCGTAGCTCACATTTGATACCAGATAAGGCCAATCTTGGTTTTCATTTCCCTTGTGATGGGCCTGGCAGAGGAGGAACATGTCAAGGTTTGGGGATGTATCTTTTGAACACGAAGATCTGATTCAATAAAATTATAGTTAAATTAATAGATATAACAAATTACACAGTAAAAATAACCTAGCCGGGCTTTCCACTCTCAATTTATCTAAAGAAAAACTATCCTACACAAAAACTAGAGAATCTAGGCGAAATCATATTGTGATGAGATGAATAAGAGGCTACATAAAACTGTTTCTGTGGAAGGACATGAAATTATCAAAAGGCCAAAGGGAATCTCTCGTATATCCTGCCAAAGAGTGAGTCATGTCAAGCCGCAATGATGATATTGCATATGATTTGACATTCTATATTGAGTTAAATGCATGATAATGATCTAAATAGCGATTTTTTGAATGATTCCATAATTGTATTTAAACACAAGAAAAAGATAAATGAAATCCCATGTGATGACATTTCAACGTACTTATTGGCTCACATATCTTCTAGAGGGGCCAAAACTTTTCAAAACAATGTTTGCTTTTGCTTTAATTTTGTTTTCTGTTTTTGAGAGATCAAATGGTGTAAATATCAAACCAAGTTTGTAGCTCCAATTCGATTAAAGATATATGGTTTTCATTGAAATTATGAGATTAATTCATGAAAGATTTACTTCATGTAACCTCTTTGTGGGTATTTGAAATCACCAGTAAAGAATAGTATCATATAATATGGAACCATTGACACAGACACATACCAAATGAAATTAAACCAATACTTTTATATGCTTAGAAGACATTCTGATAGAATTCGTGAATCTTCTTCCAAGACTTCCCTCTGCATCTTCAACTGCTTGTTGAAGTTGCCAATGAAGCTCTCAGCTTTGGCAAACAGCTCTTCTCCTCCAAGCTCATCTTCCTCCTCCTCAAACTCCACGGCATCATGTAATTCTGCCTCAGCGTCCCCAGCTCCTATGAAGAAAAGGCTTGGCGTGGAAGGACACTTCTTCACCTTCTCCACATTCAAATGTAGGGCCCTTTAACTCTTCCAAAAAGCCCAAATTCAGGCAAATGAGATTAGTGGATAAAGAACGGCTACCGGTGGCCAAGGATAAGATTATAAGATATGGCCATCATTTTTCCATGTTTAGTCAAGTTTATCCACAATTAATCTCTACAGCTACGTATCACCACTTTTCTCCATCATGGCTTTTGACTCCATTCATTCACCTTCTATTAGAGATTAGATAGACAAGCTGAAGCAAATTTCTTCCTATCTTATATCAAGGATTTGAAGAGATGGCAGGCATCTCCATAGCCCATAACAAATATCCTAGACCTCTTTGCTACCCTACCAAATGTGTAAAAAATATGGCAGAGAACCTGACCAGTGACCATGATGAAACCAAGGTCATTATTGGGCCTGCCCTTTGTTGAAGAGGGAACTAATACTACAGAGCCACTTGTACAGCCCAAGGTTTTGGTTATCTCATCGAAGCCTATTTGGGAGTTTTCAAGCAAAAAAACACTCAAGCCCAGAGTCACAATTGCCAGATTTGTTAGTTAAAAACTTCCAGGTGTTCTAGTTGACAGTAACAGCCCAATAACCAAACCAGCAAGTCAACCCAGGTGGATGAACCATCAAAGCTAGGGGAAGGTTGAAAGGTTCCATGCAGACTGCTTTTATTTTTTCCCTTTTATATGAAAAAATTTGCATCCCAAGAACAACCTGACTGGATCGTGCATGTATTCAGGTAGATTCTTGGGTATGTTTGGTTTTTTTTTTTTTGATAAATGGGTATGTTTGTTTACAAATTGCAAAAACAGATTTGCGGTGTAAGCTGAATGTCTTGCTGCTGGCAACTTGTACATAAAGGAAAGGTTAGGAAAACTCGCAGCAATTTGGCTAAAATTGACTCTTTCTTTATAATTACAAATCCTCGCCATTTTGACTTACATCCATCCCCAATCACAATTATTCAATAATTCATATAATAGAAATGTGTTTTTCAAGTGTTGCACTGTTTTGAATAGTTCAAGGATATTAAATATCAAAATATTATATTTTATTTATATATTATAGAATTTAAAATTAAAATTTTTTATTTTAAAAAAATTATCACTAAATTACTATATTAACATGTCTTTAGAGTATTATGAAATATAATTTTTTAATAATTATGAATAAATAAATTAAGGCATTTATATCAGACAATAATTTAAAAAAAAAAATGGAATTAGAGATGTCCTCACCCTCACAGGCACTGCTATACCAAACTTGAGAAGATTTTCAGACTGCATGATCAACGGTGGAGATGAATTCAGAGTGAAAGTCATGTGCCCAAACAAATCACGTCACGCAGCTGCATTACAGAATAATTCTTCCTTAGATTCCGCATCCAAACCTCTTCCGACAAGCTCCGTCGGCGTCCGTCTTACTCAAGTTCCAACCCACGTGCCTACTGCCAGGTGCCAACCCTTTTAATCATACATTTGTATAAAAAGTTATCAAAAGCTACTTTTAGTACAAATACTATTATAATTTTAATTAATAGTTGATAATTTAAATATAAATTTATATTAAAATATATATTTATTATATTTTTAATTTATGACTTTAAGTGTATTAAAAAAACCTTTTCTTTAACAAGTAAATAAAAAAGTCATACTTAAGGGATAGTGGTTTAATAGATTAAAAGTATAAAATTTTATATTTATATTTAAACTTTGAATGGTATAAAAGCATATTTAGGGAAAAAAAATACTATTTATTGATATTTAACTTATCTTTTAAGATTTGAGAAACAATTATTGGTGTACACGTAGAATCCTGCTTTTTATCCTAAACGTTTTTGACATGTGATAGTTTAGTCTCAAACTTACTGTTTACCAACATTTTGGAAAAATATTCACTAATCACAACGGGTCTATCGATGCCCCCATTATGCACCACGTCATTCAGACTTAATGCCTGAGTTGACAAAAGGACCAATTGTAAATCTTTTTCAGAAAGTTAGGAACTATTGGGGGGGTGGGGTGGGGTGGGGGGGGGGCGTGGGGACTATCCATGAAAAAAAAGGTTAAGGATCAAAAGTGGAATTAATTATCCGAGTTGCAGTTGGAGGACGGACGGGTAAAATTGCAGATCACGTGTTAATTTGCAGGAACGGATAGTAATACAATACTGCAAAAAAATGATATACACGGGATGTGATGTCGTGTAGTTTTTTTTTTTATAAGGATAATAGTTAAGAAATTAGTGAGTTAATTGTTAGTAATGGATCTTCAAATTGGGTAAATATTCTACCCCTCAAATGAGATGCGCGGTCATTAAGTCACTTTTTGGTGAAGTTCACAATGGTGATGGAATTCGAAATTCCGACCACCTCACCAAATATTTAAGGATTGAGATCGAATCATTGGTCCACAAAACTTGCAGTATTATTAGCAGGTTACATGATGAATTATTGTATGATTAATTTTTTATTTAAATATTAATTTATAATATTATATATTTA